TTCTACTTTTAACCATGCTGTTAGCTAATAAGAAATACAGAAGCAATGTATGGTAGTTTCTGTCCCACTGAGCTTGTTTTTCATTTGTGGCTTCATCCTTGGCCTCTACACAATCTGCAGTTTGGATATCAGTGAGATGGAAAAGTATACTTACCCTATTGCAAACCAGTCCCACACACATGAAGGGAGTCTAAAGCACACAGAAGAAATGATTGACCAAAAATATGACTTTCATTTAGTTGAATAAGTTCTATAAGTGAGAACTTGCCCTTTGCCAAGAGAGAGATCAGTTGACAGATCCAGGGATGGGGCAAGAGATTGCATCCTCTCCACTTAGGCTAGGCTGTACATGTACAGTGAACTCTGAGCTCTTTGCCTGGTTAATACAGGTTTCTGCCAGAGCTCTTCATGAGCAGTGAGCTTTTGACTACCCAGCTAATTGGGGCTAGAGCTGGGGCTCCAGCTTTCAGGCAACTTGGGCCCAGGTAGTAAACACTGCCACTGTTCACCATTCCTTCCCATTCCCACTGAATTCGTCAGCAAGGGAGAGGAGGAGATAAGTGGCTTCAGTAGCAATCGCCCTCTGGGCAGACCCCCCCAGTGCCCAAAACTTGTGCAACACAGTCAAAAGGGGTAAGACTGCATCACTGCACCCCTTCTGGGTACGCCCCTGAAGAGATCTAATTTTCAGTTAGCTCCGCTCAGTCTTACCTGTCCCCCCACACCCTTTTTTTTTTTAACACACCTGCTTATAATGACCTTGGTCCAAATTTGTACTGCAGTTATAAACTAGGCATCATCAGAAGTTGTGCTTCTTTCTTTAATGTGGCTACAATTAGTTGCGGAATTATCCTATTTGAGTGATTATCTGCTTGTATTTAATTCTCTCTCTTCTACTATCCTTTTTGACAATATAGACCTAACTTTCTTAGGAGCTAATATAAACACATTAATAAATATTAATAATTAATAGGGCTGTCAGATAATCACAGTTAACATGCACAATGAACATGTTAATTGGTTCTTGCGTTAATGTATTTTAACGTGTTCATTGCGCATGTGGTTTTGGAGCTCCACTCTGCCGTTTCTGGCCAGCAGTGGCAGTGCAAAGGACTGCAGAGCAGCCCAAGCGCGGGCACCAACTGGCTGCAGCAGGAGGAGATGGGGTACACACGCACACGAGAAGCTGCAGGCTGCATGCTGCATGTAGAACACCGCTGCGCTGGTAAGTTAGTGGAGGGGAAAGGGTAGGGGGGACAAAAGATTTTGGGGTGGGGGAGAGTTAGATGGAGGCCCTCATAGTGAGGGAGGGAATGAAGCAGGGGCAGGCACTGGGGTGAATGGGGGGCTGTGGTGGGTTGTGGGATAGACCTGCAGGTGGCTTGTCCGGGGTTGCGGAGCGGGGATGACTCCCCTCTGCTGTGTTCACCCCTGGGGGAGGCATGGGGGGCATTTACCCCCTGGGTTTGTGCATGGGATGGAGGTGGACTGCCAGCTGCAGGCTGGGACTCTGCCCCAGGAGCTGCATGCTGGCTGTGCCATGCATCCCCTGCCTGCCTGGTAGTGGGAGGTACAACATGGTATCACATGGCTCCCGGGGAAAAGGCAGCAGGGCGCAGAGCCTCAGCCCGCTGTGGGCAGCCTGCCTCCACCCCGTGCACAAATCCAGAGGGCATATGCCCCCCCACGCCTCCCCCAGGGGTGCACACAACCTTGGACCAGGCACCCATAGCTCTATCCCACAACCTGCTCCAGCCCCTGGGCCCCAGGTTCCCATTCACCCCAGCAGCTGCTCCCCCCCTCCACAGACTTACCTGCTGTGTGTGTGTATCTATGTGTGTGTGTCTGTCTGTCTGCCTCTCGCTTCTAAGCCACAGCCCCCCCAGCCCTGCTGCACGTAATTGTGAGTTTTTAGCTGTGTGATTAAAATCATGATTAATTGCGACTTATTTTTTAAATTGTGCAACTAATCATTTGACAGCCCTAATAATGAATAAATATAGATGTGTAACATCAATATTTTCATACTCAGGAATGGACCAGGGGTGGAGGAATCGTTCAGTTGTACCACCCTTTGTTTCCTAATTCCCTCACAGTTTAAATGCAACTGCCTGACAGCAATAACATTTCTATTCAGGCAGCAGTGAGTGAGTTAGTTGACTTCATGGCTCACTGTAATCTACCTCAGTGGTTTTCAAACTTCCTGAAGTCACAGAATGGTTTCTTATCTCTTCTTCTGCTGTGGAACCCCTACCTTGGCTCCATGGGCTGTGTGAGCTGACATGGAGCCAGGCATCCCAGTCCAGGAATGGCAGCGCACTGCCTCCCAGTCCACTTTAACCTCTTTATGGAACCCCTGACGATCTGTTGTGGAACCCCAGGGATCCATGGAACACGGTCTAAAAGCACTGAACAACCTGATTCCTTCAAAACCCTTTGTTCCACAGGTGGTTTTGATATTCCATTAATCAAACTTCTCTTTCTTCTGCAATTTTGCTGTTTCTTAGCTGCTTCTGGTAATCTAACTCCTATTTCAGTTCTCTGCAGACTGATTTTAAGTTTAGCTAAAAACATTAACTCAGCTGTGGAATTAACTTTCAGTGACCCACTGGATGCATTTTCAAGATGCTTAGGAAGGCTAGGTTTTGTTTTATGAATCTGAAAATGAATATACATTTTATTCTACTGATTATACTAATGAAACAACTTCTTTTGATTATTTTTGTCTAGTTTATTGTGTTTGTATATATAATACATGATATAGCAAATTAAGTTCCAGTTGTATTTATTTTTCTTTGATCTTAAACTGAATAATATAGTCTTAGGCACTTAGCATATTAGTAAAGTCTCTAGTTTCTTTTTAACTGGAGAAAGATGTCAAAATCCTAGATCTGCCCATGCTCATACCTTACCACTGTCTGCTACAGTATGGTATGATTCCTTGCTGGACAGACTGATAATGCAGATTTGTTTTTCTTGATTCCTTTTTTTTTTGAATGACCAAAAAAAAGGTCTTAGCCTCTTGCCCCCTGCAAATACAGCAACTTTGTGACTAGCAGCATACTTCTGCCTCATCTTCCATTGTTCTCTTTTACATCATTTGCACCAGCACAAAGGGGCTGTTAAGACGCTACCAAGGCAGAGTAGAAGTGTTTGGCATCTGTTTAGCGCTGATGTAAATGACAGCAGTAGTGGCAGAGCAAGAGAGCACAAACAAGGATTCTTGTATATTGTAGCAAGCTGAGCGTAATTTTTTAGCAGCAACTCTTTTCTTTTACTGCCTTTGTAATCAAGTAGAAACTTTGGCAGCTTAATTTAAAATACAAATCAAAATGCTTTAAAATAATTGTGTAAATAAATAATATAGTCAATACAGTCCCCGTCGTATTCAATATTAAATCTGGATTAGCTTTTACCATTCACAAACTTTCCATTTTCAAATGGTATATATTTATATTGCCACTGATGCCTAATCACAGCTCAAATGTTGCCAGAAAAAAAAGAAGGGTTTGGCTCTTAGGATTGGCACCTGAGAGGTCATGGAAGTTGGTTTCGAATTGTAGAATGACCACTTTAGCTGGATTTTTGCACTAAACTGATTAACAGTGACACATTTAATATTATCCATTAAATTTGTTATCTTTAAATTTCAGAGTTAACTTGCTGAGATGAATAGAGTGGTTCAAACTTGTCAAGGTATTATTTTGAGGTATCTGCAGACTTGAAAAGGCACTGCATTGATTTACATTCAGTTGGCTTTTAAGATTTTATTTGCCAGCATTATAAGTAAAAACCTTAAGATTCTGGAGCAGAGTTTCATGCAAAGGATGGAATCAGTATCAAATTCTATAGAATATGGTAGGCCCTACCCAGAGCTAATGGTGAAAATGCACTTGAGATATATGATGGTTTCAACTTGATTATGTAATTGTATTACAGTTTTACCCTGGTCGTGCACTTGTAACTGGCTGCAGTCCTGTTGTTTCATTCTTTATCTTTGTCCCATCCTGGCACTCCGCTGTGATGCATTAGATGTAGCATATCTACTCAGCCAAACTGTGACTATTACTTTTAAAAGCTTGAGGCTCCCAATAAAAGGACATTTAAAGGGCCTGATTCTGAGAGAGTGCAGAGCATCTGTTTTCTCTAAAGTAACAGAGGCTTCTCTAAAATATCTCAAGTTGGGCAGCTATGATCACTAGTTGCATTTGAAAATCTTAACCTTAATATCAGAATGTATAAAACTTCCACTCCAGCATATTAATTATAATCACGTATCCACATTTATGGGCATCTCTGATAAGAAACTTTTCTAACTCATTCAATAAAGGTGCAATGATTGGTTTACTTAGAAAAGATTAATTAGGATGGTGCATATCACACCTACCCTTTCTTTGGATTTCTAGAAGCTACAGTGGTTCACTCCCCTTCCTCAGAGGATTGCTTTGTAGAACAATGCTACAGTACATACTATACTAAACTGTTATGCTGAGTTTACTTGTTCCTTGGGTAGCTTGAATAGAAGTTTAAAAAAAAATCAAGGTCCCTGCATCTCTAGCACCCCAGAAGTGAATATTAGACACTAACTGATTATTCTGACTTGTGCTATAGGTCCTTTCTGAAGTTTTTGTTCAGTTTTGCTCACATAGAACAGTAGATTTATCTACATGAGAGTTTACTTAAGGTCTGAATAAAAATTGAGCAAGTATTTCAGGTTGGGGCCCTTTCTGTGTCTAACATCCTGGTTTTCATATTTTGACTACATTCACTGTTTATTAGTAAGAAGACAGCTGTTCATTCTTCAACAGATTAATAGAGCAATTCAAGACCTCTTAAAAATCATGATGATAATGTGTTGAGTGACAGGCTGCAAGTCAAGGCAAGATTTAAAGTTGGGAAATGGCTTCTCTTGGCAGGAAGACTTTTTTTTTTCTTCTTTTTTGAATAAATCCTAGCCACGTGATGCATGCCTTTCACTTTTTTCCCCCCCTCTCCTCTAGTATTGATACTCGAGAAGGTGGAAAATGGAGATCTGAGCAACAAGATACTGAAGATCACTGATTTCGGCCTGGCCAGAGAATGGCATAAAACCACCAAAATGAGTGCTGCTGGGACATATGCCTGGATGGCTCCTGAGGTCATCCGCTCGTCCATGTTCTCCAAAGGCAGCGATGTGTGGAGGTATTGATTTGGCACTAAGTACTTGGATAGTAAATGTTAACTGGAACTCCCAGACGCACTGGACTGTGCTTAATGAAACACCAGGGATGGCTAACTGAATACCACAATTCCTGATTTAGTAGAGCTTTTATGTTTCCTGGCTTTCCACCCTTCCATATCCTCATCTGTCTTTGAGCTTGGGAATCCAGAATGTGATCTGTACAAAGTAGCGAGGTCCTGCATCCTCCAAATCCTTGTTCCTTCAAGGATTTCAGCTTACCCCTTCCATGCCTTTCTTCTAAGCTTTCTATGACCCTCACCACTCTATAGTACCAAGATCACAACCCATTCAGTTATTTGGTTAACTACTGCCTTTTTAATATGACAGAAGACTGGAGTGTTATACACTTGTGATTAACTAAAGGCCCCAAGATTTCATAAGACTAAAGGAGTCAGCTTCAAGTTATTCCAGTTCTGGTATTTACATTCTACCTACCCAAATTTTCCTTGAAGTTTCACCAGAGCATAGTATTCCACATTTCCTTTCCTAAATCTGCGTAAGGTTTTATACTTTCAGTAATCAAATTAGATGTTAACTATTGATTATGGGTGAAACTAAGACTTTGATCTGTCATAACACTTATTAAAGCACTTTGATTGTTTTAAATGGAAGCCATTATGGGCAAAGTAAATGAATTTAAGAAAGTCAGGTAAATTTACTGGTAGAATGAATAAATCTAGAGTCTAGTAGATTGCTTCAAAATGATAGAAAGTGATATAGGGTTACCACTTACAGATACTGCACAAGATTTGCTCTTGACTGCATAAGGCTGAATGGCTTTAACTTTGTTTACTAGATAAGCATCTGCTGGTGTTATGGTTGTACAGCTGGTCTTCCAGAGTTGCAGCTGGAGTAGTTCAAATGGCAGTGATCCACTTTTTTCTCTCAAATACAATAGTGCATGATTTTAAAAAGATGGACTTTGAGTGTAATTTTGCTGGAGAGAGGTATCTTGAAATTCTAACATTGCTGTTGCTGGTCATTCTTGTTTTAAAGTTTTCCAGCTATTTGCAATCTGTTGGTAACTAGGGCTGTGTGAAGCTTCAGGTGTTGATTTGATTTGGAGGAGATTTTTTGGCCCGATTCATCGGCCAAATCTCCGAATCGAATCAGGAGAATAAAAGGGTCTGAATCAATTCAAAGCTCACCGAATCAATTCAGAAAGCTTCAGAGAGATTTGGAGATTTGGGCAGTCCCTGCTCACCGCCGCAGGGAGCTGGACCTGGACTCCGTGCCGGTAAGTAGGGAGCGAGGGAGTGGGTTGGAGGAGGGGGGGAGGGAAATGGGGGAACCCCTGTCGGGCCCCATCCCCTGCCTCCTTCCCCAGCCCCCCTGAGTGCCCCCCAACTCTTGCCCGCTCTCCCAGCCCTGTCAATGGCTGTCCCGCCCGGCCCCAGCATCCTGACTCTTTAAAAATAAAAAAAAAGCCTTGTACTCACTGGCTTCTGCCAGGCAGGGGGGAGAAGCCCACTGCCCCCTACAGCCCCGTGCTAGGTGGGGGGGCTCTGCCACAAGTCCCCACCCTTGCCCGCTCTCCCAGCCCTATCAATGGCTGCCTGGGCCCAGCCTCCCAGCTCTTTTAAAAAAAAAAAAGAAAAGAAAAAGAAAAAAAGCCCTGCACTTGTCAGCAGCTGCATCAGCTGTCAGGGCTTCTGGGGGGGCAGCACAGGGCAGTAGAGGGCAGCAGGGATTGCTTCTCCACATGGCAGCATTGGGTAAGTGTGGAGCTTTAAAAAAAAAAAAAAAAAAAAAAAG